AAATATAATAGGATTCAAAGTCAGAAATCTTGTGAAGCAAACTACAGGTGAGGGAGATGGCTTTTTACACTGAGTGACTATACAATGCCTCTCTGAGGAGGTGACGTCTGAGTTTTATTTGAAAAAGTTCTTCAATCATGAAGAAGAGGCCTCTGAAAAAATTAAGATAAAAAAATTACAATATATTGGGGTTTTTTTAAAGTATACATATCTTTGTCTCCCTATACATACCTGTAGGTCTATAGGTATAGATACTGACACCAGCCAAACTGCTAACCTTAAAACTTTTTTCTGTGGGTGTAAACTCACATATTTTACAGTAAAAGTATTTATGAACTGTGTCTGAACAAAAACTCTTAAGAGCACATATGCAGAAAAGAAGAGCATTGACCTTGGGGTAAAAAATGGCCAGGTGTGTTCAAATCCTGGGTGGCTCCAAGGGCTAGTTTTGTGACCTCAGGCAAGGACTGGTCTTGTGGTTTCTGTTCTAGGGTCTGGTGACATTTTTGGTTGTCACAATTGGGGAGGAGGGAGTGCTGTTACCGGCATCTAGAAGGTGGAGGCCAAGGGTTCTGCCCAACATCTTACAATGAACGGAGGACAACCACCCCCCTGCTCCCTGCACAAAGAATTATCCAGCCCCTGATGTCCAGAGCTGACGTTGAGAAACCTTACTCTAGAAAAGCGGGCAAGGTCCGCCTCACAGGGCTGAAGACTAATTGTGTACAATGTGCTTAATGAGCACAGCCCCCAGGCACAGAACAAGCCCTCAATACATAGGAGCTCTTATCTTTATGACCGGACTTCCCCCAAATTAAAAAAAAACTTGAGCTGGGAGGAAGTGGTAGTACCAGGAATCAACTCTGCTGAATTCTAATTCTGGTGGCTTACTAGAAGAAATCTTTGGTTTTTTTGTTTGTTTTTTCCTTTTTAAAGAGGGCGCAGCTCAAGGTGGCCCATACAGGGATCGAACCGGCAACCTTGTTGTTCAGAGCACATGCTCTAACCAAGTGAGCCACCCACCCGCCCCCATCCTCGCTCTTTTTAACTGCAACCCAGGTCTCCACAGGGCGTTTGTGTCTGCCGATTAGAGATGGTGGACGAAGGCTTCCTCATGCCTCCTGGGTTTTGTTTTCTTGTTTTCGTTTCTTCCCATGATCAGTTCAGGAACGTTCCTACTGGACTCTCCGTGGTCCCTTGTATAGTCATCTATCTTTCTATGGTGGTCATTTCCTTCCACCTGAGTGGGTTCAAGAACACACTCAGGTTTCTCTTGTTGGAAAACCAAAATAAAAAAATCAAAACCCTCCGAGCCTCACCCCCTTCCTCCAGCTACCAGCCTTCTCTTTGTACCCCTTCTCATGAAACTCGAGAGATGCCTGCACTCACTGTTGCTTCATTTCCTCCTTTTTTGGCCCCCTCCAGTGTGGCCACCCACCGTAAACCTCCCCCCCCCCGCCCCGCCATCACCAAGTTCAGCAAATGGCTCTCGCCACGTGCCCAGTCACTCATCATCTGGCATGGCTTCTTTGCTGCATCCAAGCTGTGGACCACTGCCTTGGACATCCCTTCCCTGTCCTACCCACTCCTGTTTTCCTCCTCCCGCTCTTCCTGTCTGCCCTGCTCACTCATCCTCTTCTCAACCGTTATTAAACGGAGACCTCGGAGGCCTGGGCCAAGGCCACCCTCTCCTCCCGCTCTGCTCAGTCCCTCCACAACCTCATCTCCGCCTAGCGCTTCTCTGGCCTCCACACCAGACTCGCATATCCATCCCTGGTCCCGACCATTCCTTTTGAGTTCCCAGACCAGAATATGTACAAGTGTCTATTGGCCGTTTCTGTTGGGTTTGTCTCAGACCCCCCTTAACTCAAGACACTCACAACTGATGTCATGATCATCCCTGGGAACCTGGTCCGATTCCGGGACTGGCCTGGCCATTCACTTAAGTGGGGAAGCCGGCAGCTTAGAGGATTCCTCCGTCCCAAAACCAATCTGTGTTCAGGTTCTGTGTTGCCTCAGCATCCCCTACCCTCCATACTGTCCCCACGCGACTGCACTCGCCTAACTGCCCCCCCCCTACTTCTTTGCTTCTCTACAACCCCCCATTCTCCCTGTAGCCATCTATTAAAAATGACTGTCTATTCATCACACCCAGCCCTACCTGCTGGAAACTCTTGGACCCACTGCTCTAAAGATAAAACCCACTCCTTACCTTGGCCCACAAGACCCTGCACTGCAGTCTGGCCCCATCCACTCCCCAGCCTAACAGTGCCCAGAGCGCCCCATGCCCGTCTCCACAGCTCACCAGGTGCCCTGCTCGGCTCGCCTCAGCTCCCCCCCCACACCTCAGGGACATGTGCCCGACCATGCACTCATGGCCACAGTATCGCCTTTACAGCCCTTATCATAGTTGGAATTTTAATCATATCCGCCTCCTGGGAATACGAAGGGGGAAAGCACAGCGAGCTTACGAGGCCACTGACCCTGTCATATTGCTAATCATTATATCCCTAGCACCTGGGCACAGAACTTTACACTCAATAAATATCAGTGGGTAATAAACATCCAACAAATAGAAGCTATGATTACAATCTCTGAGCAGATGCGGGCAGATGGCAAACTCGTGACTGGCCCCAGAGGTCTTATTTAACTTGGGCATCACCTGGGCCAATTCTGGAAAGAAAGCCAAGGTGTGAGGGGAGGCCTGGGGAACACAGTGCGGTGCTTTTGCTCCATCGGCTGAGTTTTTCCCTCAACCGGTCTGGCTGTAGGGGTCGGGTGGGCAGTGTTTCTCTCAGGAACACACAAACGAGCTGAACTCGCGTGGGAATGGAAAGAGAAGGCCCGAAGAAGTCAAGCTGTTCTAGACAAAGAGAGACGACCATCAAGGTTTGGTTCTTGAATATGTATTTTTTACTGAAAAAATCATTCATAAATTAACATACAAAAATGTACAAACACATGAGTAAATTATGTAATGACAAAGGACTATTTTTGTGAAAAGTGTTTTTCAAAACATCTTTAGATTTCAGTGCAAAAATGTATCCCTGGCACCTCTTAAAACATAAGAACAAGCTCAAAAAAAAAAACCAACAAAAAAGACGTAGTGATGGAAATAAGCTAGCTACGTTCAATGTCATCATCAGTGGTGAGTGGATACAATCGATGCCATGTGCCTGTTGCTCAGCTATTAATGTCTGTGGTAGAGGGGCTCGACCAAGAGTCCCTGTCATGTCAAAATGAATGTTTTTGCAAATAACCTCCCCACCCCACCCCCCAAAAAAAAACAGTGTGAAAAGAGAAACCTTTCCCAGTACCCAATAATCAAAGACAAGAATGATTTAAGGGGTCACCCATCAGTAGCCTTAAAGAGTTTCAGCTGCCAAAATATGCTCAAGGTCACATTTGGTTCTTATAGTTCTTTTTTTTTTTAACATGAGAGTTTCACACCATTAACAGCACAGGGCCTGGCTGTATGTTTTTAACATTTTAGCTCCCCACACAATAGTCAGCTTGGATAAATGACTAACAGTGCACAGTAAGAGATTTCACACTCATAAAACAAACTCACACATGATTGCAAGATGATTCAAGTGACCCTACCACAATCAGTGAAAAGAGACCTTTCCTTTTCTTCAAATCAGTGTTTTCTTTTTTAAATCAGGTGTTAGCCTTTCGCCAACATTTGGTTCTTGGTGGTGATAATGTTAATAAAAAAGCTTCAAACAAGGTCATTTTACAATGCTGCCAAGTATCAGTTGGTCTATCCTGGCAAATTCTTCCAAATGACATCATAGTTCTGTCACACTGAAAGCCACTCACAGCTTTCAGTGATGAAAGAGGGGAGGAGGAGAAGGGTGAGGATCTGGGGGTGCAGGGGGAGAGGGGGGAAGAAATCTTTATTGCTATATGCACCATACATCAAAGGAAAACCAAATGAACATCTGTCTGTATGTAATGTTCCCTCGTGAAGGTCTTTTAAAGCATGAAATTTCAAATTCTTTTAAAACATATGATACAACTTACCAGCATTTTCAAGGGCAGACGCCTGCTCTCTCATATGAGCCGATAAGAGCTTTGCAATGCAATTTATTTTCTAAATACCACTCTATTCTTCAAAAGAACAAAAACACGAACAAAAAACAAGGCCTGGCCAATCACTCCCACAGCTTGTGGGGATCATATGTCCATGGGACCAACACATGCAACGGAAAAAACCCCAACCCACACGTGTGTACACAAATAGACCTCTACACGCACATCCATGTAAACCATGAAAATTAAGGAAGTCGAAGGCAAACAAGGCAATTAAAAAAAATATGAAGTACTTTTCGGAAAGTACTCCCAATCACGATATATAAATATGTTTTATGGAAAAGGAAGAAAACTGGCATTTTTCAGAATTCTGCAGAAGCCAACAGGGAATATGAATTGAGGGGATTTGGCTCAGGGAAAAACAGAGGCACAAATTCAAGTGCAACTTGGAATCTGACTTCAAAAAGCACATGGGGTGTGAACAGAACACTTGGGCTCTTGCATCCTGGAGCTCTGTTAGTCTAATCTCAAAGCTCTGATTTAATCTCTCCAGAATCGCACTGACCCACCACACGCAAGTGTCACCCGCTCCCTGGCAGAGTGCTGTACCCGCCACTTGCTCATTTGTTCTATGTGCTAGTTAACAATGTTTATAAAGAGCCTGTCCAGAAACCAAAAGGGGAAATATTCAGAGGAATCACTGAAGCGAGCTGGTAATTTAGGCACAGATTTCAGAAATTGTGACCACGTTCCACAATAGAAAAAAAAATTCTAAAAAGGGGAGGGGGAGAGAGAGAGGAAGGGAGAGAGGGAGGAAGGGAGGGAGGGAGAGGGAAAAAGAGAGAGAGAGAAGGAAAGAAGACACCACCCATCCTCCCTCTTTATTTATGTATTTATTTTTCAGCTGAGTCATCCTGCCGCCTACTGGCAGCTCAGCAGCAGCTCAGCTCGGGCCGGGAATCAAACCGGCGACCCTGCTGCTCAGAGCTCGCACTCTCTCGAGCGAGCTCTTAACCAGCTGAGCCACTCGGCCGGCCCCCTCTCTTTATGATGAAAGGACAAAAAGTCCAGGGACGCAGGGGCGAGCCCTCCCCTGAAGGGTTTGCTTTGAGCAGGGAGAGCAGCCTGCTGTAAAACAGCAGCTCCCGCTCAGCAGAAGGTTGGGAAGAGTTCGTACTGCCCGACGGGGAACATAAAATTCTGAGCAGAAGTCCAGAGCAGCACTTTGGAAGAAGGGGGTGGGCGGGGGCAGAAGTCAGCTACCAGTGACCAAGACTGGACTCTTGTTCTTTTGTGACATGCCCTAACTCCACTCCCTTCCAAAGTGACAGCAATTTAGGAGATATATTCTTCCACTGCATTTGAACAGTTTCTACATTTGCCAACCAAATAAGTGATCTAATATATAAATCCTCAGTTTGAATTGAAGCCAGCTATATAAAATTAAATTTTTAAAAAGGCATTTTACATGGCTTATTTACAATTATACTTCTTCAAGAAGTGATTGTTACATGTTCTATTTATCTTCCCCAATCCCTCCCCTCCACCCTCAATCCCCACCCAAAGCAGGTTTAAAAAAAAAAAAAAAAGAAACGGAAGAGAACACCAGAGATGAAGAATGGCGAGTGGCGTTTAGTCTGCTCTTCCTGCACCACAGTTGCCCTGCGGTGGGGGTTTGCCTCTTGCCCTGAAGCCCAAGAAGCTCCAAAGGCCATTCGTAGGCGAGGACTCTGGGGCGGGGCCATGGTGGGTCCCAGCTCTGGCTCTGGGGACGTTGGGGTAGGAGGCGGGGAGAAGAGCAGCAGGCCAGACGTCGGTCTTGTGAAAACAGAAAGCAAGTCCTGATCAGAGAGGGTCCCGAGCTTACTCCCTCAAGCCCAGTGGGTCCAACAGGTGTTTTGTGCGTGTACTCGGTTCACATTTTTTTCCTGGAACCCTGTGATCCTTCATTAGATGCTGTATTTCTAGTTCTCTTCTGGTGTGGAGCCCCAAGACATCTCATCAGGCTGCTTTCTTGGTGGAGGTGGGTAAAGCAAACATATATTCTCTCCTCATCTCAGTACTCGGTCACCTGAGCCAGCTCGGGTGTCAAGTTGACAGTAATGTTTTTATACAAGGCGTCGTATGTGATGTTTGCAAAGTAGTTCAAGTTGTTGAGGCCGTCCAGCCCTTGCCGCTCTTTGGACTTCCTCAGCAGAGCATACCTGTTGGTGTAGAGAGCAGGGGAGGCTCTGAGCACGGGGCCAATCTCCTCACGACAGAGGATGGAGCAGGGCAGACCACAGCAGGGGACACAACCCAAGGCAGTCCTTTTCGCCACATGGCGCGTGGCTGGCCCTTCTACTCCATGCGAAATGTTTTTATTATTAGAAACACCTCCTATTTCATGCCAGGCACTCTACTTATTACATTATTTCATTTAATGCATCCACCCCTTAAGCAAATGAGGAAACCAAGGCTCATGATGTTAAATGACTTGCCCAAGGTCACAGAGTGGAGAGGAGGTAAGATACTAAAAATACATCAGATGGGAAAGTGCAGTCTGCACTCAGAGTCCTCTTACTCCCATGAAGACAGAGTTCATGCATGAGAACTGGCCCTCCAGAGAACAGTCCTCGCCCAGTTAACAAGATACAGAGAGCCACTCTTGAAAGTGCAGAGATGTCACTCCTTCCACCCGCCCCAATCAGTCCAACCTGGAATTTCCTTACTGAAAGCAAACAGGGTATTAAATTAACTGCAACCACACAAATAGAAGCTCAGGGGCACCCTTCCAGAACCGAGGCTTGCAAGAAAGGGTGCCAATTCTGTTTTGTCACGTCAGCGGAAGTCACAGAGGCCTTTACCCGAGTGGACTCCTCTCCAACGCCCTGAAGGCCAGAGGAGACTACGCAGCTTAAGACGTAGAATGAGTGGCTTCCTTAAAAGAGTTTACGATCAAATTTTTCACCAATATTCTGATTTCGCCCTCAAACATCTGCCTCACAGTTAAATGAAAATATATATGGAAACGACAAAACTGCTGTCAGAATAGGACCTTGGAGAGGGGCTGTCATATGTTCTGGCATGTCTGGAAATGCAAAGTATAGAGGATATTTGTATGAGGAATAAATAAACTGCACCAACCTTCCGAGAAATTGGACTTCTCCTCGATGGTGATGAGGAATGGACTTGTACTTCCCAGTGTCACCTTCCGGCCGGCTCACAGAATAGCCTGCATTCTGCACTCTGTCCCAGACAAAGAAAATGGCTTTTAGATAAAACGATCAAGTCCTAAAGGTGACCAAACTTATGCAGAGGCTGAGAAACCCCAAGGTGAACAACAGAACTTCTGCATCTAAATATTCAAACTGGCTATGCCCTCTGGGTAAGCTCACAGTTTTAGAAAAGAAGTCTACGATACAAAAAAGTTTTGAAAAAAAGAAAAGACATTCAAAGTTCTTGAGAGTAAGGTTGGATGCGGGTTCTTGGGTGCAGGTCCAACAGTGCGTGCCCCGGCTGATGAGTGCACACGTTCTCCCTCTCCACTGACTTGTTTGGGTCTCATATATTTTGGGTCACAAATATTTTTCTCAGGGGTGGACAGCACCTTTTCCGTCCACAACCCAACACAAAGCAAGTCAGTCAAGTCAGAGTTGCTGTGTGTTTTCCCTGCTTAGGAAGAACTTATGTCTCGGCCCATTAAACCCATCACCATGGAGATGAATTTATTTATGAACATCCTCTCATCTAGACGTAAAGCTTCACAATTTATGAAGTCACTATGAGGGAAGCAGAATTCAGAGGAGGTGTTCAGGATACTGATCCTAATATGATAAAGAGTAATATTTCCCAAGGTGGGTTTACTGGAAACTTGATGGGGCTCTGCGAAGTCATTAATACACGGAGGGAGACTGTGAATGTTTCTATGTGAAATTTACGATCGTTTTCATATTATTTCAGTATCCGCCTGACTCCAAATTATACTCTCATTTGATACATATATATGGAACGCCTACTGTATGCCTGGAATGGTGCTGGGGAGCTGGGGAAAGCCAGCCACAGTTCCCGCATCACCACCCCTCTGCCCCCAACGCTGAGCTGGAGAGAGGGCTAGGTGAGAACTGTGGCCGGTGTCCCAGGAGAGCGCAAATGGATTCAAGGACCAGTCACACCAGATGCGTGTGTGGAAGAGCTCTTCATCTTCCATAAGTTCCTAAGAAGCCCAAATTAAAAAGAAGAGATGCCATTTTCACCTAACAGATTGAGAAAGAATTGTCTGGAGCTGCTTTGTCCAGCGTAGCAGCCATGAGCCACATGTGGCTACTGAAGGGCAAAAATGTGGCCAAAATTTTAAAGGCTGTTTCTATGCAATGTTGGCAGTGGTGTCAGCAAATGGGCACTCAAACGCACTGTTGGTCGGAATCTTTTTGCAATCACTTTTGGAGGAACCTTTGGCAATAACTATCAAAATGTAATGTGCATTTACTTCTTGACTCTGCAGTTCCACAACTACTCATTTAATCTAAAGAAATATTTGCACACGTGAACAAAGGATGTCCAGGCATTTCTAGAAGACACCAGAAGGAGGGGAGTACCTGTTCCACAGGTCGTCGTCTTCTCCACCCCAACCCCAGAAAGCATTAGGGAAGCCGTTGATTTTCCGAAACTGTTCCACTGTTAAGCCGCTCACGCCACCAAAGAACTCAGTGTAAGGAAGCCTGAAAGGACATGCACGGCATCAACCATCTGTGCATTAAAGGGTGGCTTTTTCTGGTACTGCCTTAAGTAAAACAACGCTCTCTGTGCTGCTGCCCGAGTTGTCTCCTCACACTGAGATGCATCAACCCAAGTAGCTCACTGAATTTTTAATGACAGCTTTATTGAGACATAATTGACATACCATGTAATTCTTCACCCATTTTAAGTGCAATAATTCAATGATTTTTAGCACATTCAGAGTTGTGCAACCATGACCACAATCAACGTTAATACATTTCATTACCCCAAAGAAGCCTCGTACTCACTAGTAGTCAGCGACTCCCCATTTCGCCCTGCTCCCCTCAACCCCATGCAATCACTATTCTCCTTTCTCTGTAGATTTGCCTATTTTGGACATTTCATAGAAGTGGAATCATATAATATGTGGTCTTTCGTAACTCATCTCTTTCACTTAGCATAATGTTTTCGAGGTTCATCCATGTCGTCACGTGTATCAGTACGTCATTCCTTTATATTGCCCAACACTGTTCCGGGTTGGGGGATACAATACACTACATTTCATTTACATTCATCGGCTCATGGACATGCAGGGTTGGAGCTAACTGGATTTGCCATTTTTGCATCTCTCATCATCCTTTTCTATTTAACTTATTTAATTAAAAGGAAATGATACTCACAGATACATATACTTATCCAATTTAGTTGCAAAGTGCCTTGGCATCTGTCCACATCCATAATAGTTACGATCGCTTTCTGGTATATGATCCACATCATGAAAAATCAGACAGTCCCAGTCTAAGTCCTTCATTGCTTCTTGAAAACCGACATTGAAAAGCATGGCTCGATTAAAGGGCTGGGTGCCAACCTACAAGAAGCAGAACTTTATTTTTAAAAGGACTCTTGAAGCAAAATCACTGCTGCCTCAGCCCTGCCTAAAGGAAAGCCTACGGAAAGCGCCTGGGAGAGATCAGTGGGCCAGAGAGAGGCAGACCCAGGCCAGTCATCGCTGACTCACAGGCCACCTGATAGAAAGGGGCGATAAAGATAAACCCCAGCTCCTCTCTCCCAAGGCTGTTGTGAAGGCAGATATTGGGCCATAAAACCGCATTTAGAAGATTAGCAGCCCCATAAAGAGAAGGAGGAACTATACTGCCATTTCTACTTGCAGCTCCTTATCTTAAAGGGAGATTTCCTGGGTCTGGGGTCTGAAGACACCACTCAAAGCAGCTTCTGCAAAACCACTACACAATAGGCCTTTGTTCAAGGGCAAACAAAGTTCCATCCTGGACTCCAATCTGCAGGCACTAAGCAACTGAAATTTCAAAGAGGAGGGCAGAACTGCTCTCCGTTCCCCTCCCGCCTCAGGCTGACTCAATCGTGAGATGTCAGTGCCACTGGCTCTGCACACTGAAGATGGATTCACTTGAAGCGCTCAAAACTGCTCTCAGGAGAGACAGGACAGGAGAGAAAAGACCACTCACTTGCTCGACCACATAAAACGCAAACTGCAGGCGCTGGCGCTGAAGCATAGGGATCAGGTGTCTGAGCAGGACTGGGAGGTGCTCATGGCGGTTCCGGAAGGGGACCAGGATCGCCACCTGCAGGGGATCACAGCAAAAGAGGCCGCCCCATTAGCCCCCTCAACTTCCACTCTGTAGCAGGACACTCCTGCAGAATCGGTGACCAGCTCTCGGGGAGCAGCGCTAGGAAGCTGCCTCGTCCTTGACTTCCTCTAAAGAAAGACCACGTGGGCAAGTCGACCCTTGGAAGTATGCGGGCCTGGCTCTTACACGCACCATCCCATGTGCACATGGGACAGCTGAAGGAATTCATGCTAGACTGCAGCCCAGAGGAAGACATACGTTCTCTGCAGTGACCCAATTACATAGATATATCCACAGATGTATAAACATACAAATAAAAGTACGCTTTACAACACAGCACTTCCCCTCACAGCGTGCACTGCATTCGACACAGATGTATTTATTTAATGATGGTCACTAAATTGATTTTACATTCCGACAGTGGGCTGGAAACACTGACCTGTTCCAGGTCTGCTCTGATCATGGCTGCACCATGGCATCTCACAGGGGCACAGAGGAAGCACTGCAATAAGTACTTGTGGGAAGAATGGATTTAAGCCAGTGTCAGAAGCTTGACAACACTACTGATATCTCCTGGCTACAGCCATGCAGGAAAACACTAACAAATTCTCAGGGTCGGACTAACTGACTGCACTTTTTGTTCCACTAAACTCGGGGTACTGATGGTGAATAGGGCATGAAGCACTGAGTTTGTGAAGGTGGCTTTCTATAAAGATGACAAAAAGGCCTTGCTCAGTCATCAGAACGAGGCAAATGTCTGTGGCTCCAGGAGTCCTTTGGGAAACCTACTCCAACATATTTCCATCAACTGCGAATACTTTTCGCTGGGTAGCAGGGCACCAATTATGAAATGTCAGCCAGTGAAGCCCGTGGTGATTCGGGACCGTGGCAGTCCCAGTGGGCTGCCCCAGGCAGCACTTCCGGTCTGACTGCACGCCTTACCTTCCACCGCGGCACGCAATCGCGAGGCGTCCAGTGACCTCCAAGCTTGATGGCTGGGTCTTTGGAGAAGAGTTCATGAATGGCATCCATTCCGATTTCACTCATGTTTATGTCTATTGGGCCCTCTGAATAGAGAGGAGGGGAGAAAAAGAGTTAAGAGGTCAGAAAATGATAGATTCTTTTCTCTATGTTCAGGGCTTTACTCTCTGGAGTTCAACACTGTTTCAGCTTGTTGTGTTTTTAACAGGGATGGGAATCCTGTCCTCTGCTTTCTAACTCCCTGAGTTTCAGTTCATCACTATTATTGGGTAAAGCAGCAAATCAAGAAATTAAGACTAAGTTCTGCTTCTGCCAAGGGTGTGGGAAGAAATGAAGACCAAGTAACACAGCAGCTGAACTTCTCAAAGAGGAAGGAGAAAAGCGGCTGAGCTTAGAGCCGTCTCTGCATACTCCTGAGACAAGTACAGACACACTGTCCCAATTAATTTATCAGTGACCCTGACCGGTCATGTCCAGACTCAGAACACTCATCATCTCTGATTTAAGTTACGAAGCGGAGCCGTCTAAACCACAGAAAAAGCATAATACTGTGCTGTCATTGCTTTAGATTACACATGGGACTCCAAGAAAAAAGAAAAGACAGAAAGAAAAGATCAGAAAAATTTTTTAACTAGTACTTTGTTAAGAAAATAACTTCCCTCATATCAAACAAGTTATAATCAGGGTTTAAGATTTATACTAAAAGACCAAGCTGGTTGCCTGTCCTTTCTCTAGGACATCCTAATAGACCCCAGGTTACAAAGGAGGGTGAATGCACAAAGGAAAGACAGAACAATGTAGAAAACAACACCAAGAACACAGGCAACCTTGCAGAGGACTGAAGAGTCAGCACCCCATAACTTGCATAACCCCTGTTTCCAATGGCAGGGATGCGTCTCTTCACAGGTAGGCATATTGAGACAGCAAGAACACTCTCCCTTGTATTTGAATCCAATAAAAAGACGCACCAGTTTTAAGAGCAGAGGAAGCTAAGTGAGAGCTCTACTCACTCATGGAAGGGAGCCTTTCGGGGCAGGTGTGGTTTGCAAAGTAGGTGAAGTCTTCAGGAAGAAAAGTTGTGGTTTGTAGAAAGGTTTCGCTGTGGTTCAAGTCAAGAGGATAATCTAGATAGGTGAGGAAAAAAGTCAACTCAGGCTGGTACGTGATCAATTCTGCAATTCTTATATGCCTACCAAAGACGTTTTTTTCTTAAGGCATCTTTTGTGAAGCAAGACTCTGGTAGCTCTTCACTGCAGCTTAAAAATCTGAACCCATCAATAAAAATGTTAACCAGATGATACCATTTTAACCTGTTTTTATTTATTTATTTTAAAAAACTTTATTAGGGAACAGTGTGTTTTTCCAGGGCCCATCAGCTCTAAGTCAAGTTGCTGTTTTTGAATCTAGTTGTGGAGGGCTCAGCTAACTGGCCCATGTGGGGATCAAACCAGCAACCTTGGTGTTATGAGCCCGCGCTCTAACCACCTGAGCCAACTGGCTGGCCACCCCCAGTGTTTTAATTGGGTTGTCGGAAAGGTCACGACGTACTTTTTCTATGTTTTTCGTTGCAAAAACGCGTCATGACTTTTCTGACAACCCAATATTCTGATTGGTAGTACAGCTTTCTGTGCACTCAGGTTACAGTTAAATATCTCTACAATGTAATTATAAAAAGAGCACCCCCCCCATACCTTATTCTCTAAAGGAATTGCTCTCACTTCTTTGTTCACTCCATTCGCCTACACAGTTAATCTTGATGCTTCCGTTAGGTCTCACCTACTGACTTTCCACCATGGGGGACGAGGGTTCCCCTCCCACCCCTCCCCTGCCTCACCACACACAGGCCTTTTCCATCCTCCAGTCTCCCAATAGTCATATATGATCGCTGTGGTTAGGGCAGGCTTTAGTATTTATAGTATGACGATTCTACAGATATTACTCATAGCTGAGAATGTGGAAAGCAATGATTATTTCTGTCTCCTGCATAATCTTGGTTTGACTGGAGTGGCTCTTGTTTTTCTGTTTGCCAAGATTTATACGGAATACTGACTCCCTCAACACCATGCCCTCTCTCACTGGATTTCCACTTCAGACATTCACAGGCATCAGGGATTCTCTCAACGTCATCCTCCCAAAGAAGGCCCAGTGCCTTCTGGCCCCTCCATTTTGGACAGGCTCTCCTTTGCGCCTGATGTGCAGATGTTATCCCCGGATTTCCCTTCCTCAGTGGCCTGGAGGGTCCTTCCATCTCTGTACAGTATTGAACTTCATTTTTCCGAAGTTTAATGTCTCCCTTTTTCTCATTGATAGAGCGCATCCTCCAAGTAACTTCCTAAGAAGGGGGATGGGAAGTGATTTTGCAACCTTGTATATCTGATTGCTTTTAGTCTTCCTCACTTGACTCACAGTTGGTTGGGGTTACAGGATTCTAGGCTGGAAATAATTTTCCTTTCGAGCTGTGAAGGGGCTATCCCCCGGCCTTCTAGATTCCACTGCGCCTGTTAAGTTCCAATTCCTCATCTCTGTCAAAAGTGACCAGCAATTTCTCTCTGGAAGTGTAAAGAACTTTCTCTTTGTTCAGGAAATTCCACAGTGGTGTGCCCTGTTTGGGGGTCTATTTTCACCCACTGTCTTGACCACTGGGTGGGTCTTTAAAGTCTGGGATTCATGTCTCTTTGTTCTAGACTTTGGAGGCGGGGAGGAGGTATTACTGTGGCGACTGACTCCCCTATGTACTCTGTGCTGTCTTTCTGGAGAACAGAAAACATCACTCAGCTGTTGGACCTCCTAATCCTCTAACTTTCTCATCTTTTCTACCCGATTTCCCATCTTGCCATTTTTCTGCCCTACCGATTTCTCAATTTTACCCAGCCCTTCTTTTAATAATCATTACTTCTATCGTATTTGTAATTTCAAAGAGTCCTTTTATTTTCTGAATGTTCATTTCTTATATATTCTTGTTTCATGTTTGCTATCCTTTTTCTCTTACCCTTGAGAATACATATTATTGCTGGGGTTTTTTTGTGTGTTTTTTTAAAAGATTTTATTGGGGAATTGGGGGAGGGGAACAGCGTTGGGGAATCGTGGGAGGGGAACAGACAGGTAGACAAATTGCTGTTTTGTTCTTCAGTTTAGTTGTGGAGGACATTGCTTCACTGGCCCATGTTGGTATGATCATTGTGCTCTTCCTGGGTGAGGCAATTGGTTGCTGGTCATTGGTCGGCCACTCACTGTGGCTCACAGCTGCTCACGCTGGCTGACAGCTACTCACGTAGCTCATGACAGCCCACTGCAGCCTACACAGCAGCCCAGCTCCAGGTCAAGCTGTTGTTCATCATCTTAGCTGTAGAGGGCGCAGCGTCACTGACCCTTAATGTGGGATCCGAACCGCGCCCCTGCTGCTCAGAGCTGGTGCTCCCAAGCAAGCTCTTAACCAACTGAGCCACTCGGCTGGCCCCATATTATTGCTGTTTTAATATTCTCCCAGCATAGTCTGTTTCTTCTCATTTGCTGCTACTTGTTTGTTTTGATCACTAGCACAGTGATCCTTAGTCATCTGCTAATATTTAAGAGTGGGGCATTGATCAGCTCACGGGAAGGTTTGGACAGAGGTGCTTCATCATAGGGTGTTATGGCCGGAAATTTGGTTTGGAAACTCCCATTGTGAATATCTTTGGGTCTTTTCTCTTGGTCTGGTCAGATTCCCAGAGAAGCCGATTCTAATCTGCCAAAATGGTACAGTCCTGGCTACCAGCATCCTAGAACTGTGAACACCTAAACCAAGCCAGGGGTCCCCAAGCTAAGGGACCGTCCCTCTCTCTGTTTTACCATCTCTGAAGGTTATCAAGTCTCCAGTGCTTTGCCAAGATGGGGGAAGGGACATGGGTATCCGACTACTTTTCAAATAGCTTTCAGCCAACCTTTATCTTAGTTGCCACTTTTATTCTTATCTTCCAAAGTACCTGATATGGCTAATTCCTTAGCTTTTGGGGGATTCTGGGGTATAAACTAAGATGGTTGGTGGCTTTCCCTGCTGCCACAACTAGCAGTCAGTTTTTGTGGGTCTGTTAAGTCCTTTATCAGGTCCATCTGTTTTCCAGCTTCCCAAAATCCTCATTCTTAAGGGCTTATGCCATCACAGCACGCGCGCGCGCGTGCGCACACACACACACACACACACACACATACACACACACACACTCTCTCTTTACTGTCATTTAGTGGTGTGGCGTTTTGAGAGTGTGAAGCAGATGCCTTTTTCTTAGCAGACTGTATGAAGAGGGCTCCTCCAACCTCTTAATTTTTTTAAAGATAAGGAAGCTGAAGCACCACGTATGTAACTCAGACAAGGAGACTTGCCGTGCATGACAGAGATCTGACTTAACTCTGGGTTACTGATCTTTCCATTACATTGCACTCCTTTTTTTCAGAGTATTAACATCTCTCTCACCAGTCCTTTTGGATTCATGCTGCTTCTATGAGAATTAAAACTTCCTATTCAGATTCATTTTGCAGCCCAGAATCCCACAATCTTCAACTCACATATTTTTTTAAAAGCACTATGAGAGGGTTTCCAAGAATCAAACTGCTAATACAGTGAATCCTTTTATGCAGGCACATGGCTGCCTACTCTAAAGCACTCAGAGGACAAAACTCAATGAGAGGCAACTTGCAGGGAATTTTAACAGTCTCTTTTGTTTTGTTCTGTTTGCTTTTATAATTATTTTTTCATTTTCTCGGATCACCTTTTTCTGGGTTATCTCCCTTATGCCCAACCTCTCCTCAGATTTTTTTCTTTTTTTAAAAGTTAAATTTATTGGGGTAACAATGGTTAGTAAAATTACATAGGTTTTAAGTGTACAATTCTGTAATACATCATCTATATATCACATTGTGTGTTCACCACCCAGAGTCCATTCTCCTTCCATCACCATATATTTGATCCCCTTTACCCTCCTCTATCTTCCCCTCACCCCTTCCCCGCTGGTAACCACTGAACAGTCTCTTAACAGGGGAGGAAAGAAACAGAACTCTTTCTATCCTTTTTAGTTGTAGCTTTCCTGAAAAACACTAAGCCAGCGTTTTTATACAAAGACATAAACCAAGTCAGCATGAACTCTAAAGGTAAAATTACATTTACACAGAAATTAGCCCAAAGACCTCAGTTCAACATGTAAACCTGTCCTAAGGTGAGACTTTTCTGAAGGTATTAACACTTCAAAAAGCTATGTCAAGAAACTCCAGTAGTAACCATTACTTTGGATGATTCTGATTTTGCTTCTTAATTTTATATATACATATATACACACACACGCACATGTGTATATAGATATTTAATACATACACACGCGCACGCGCACACACACAATGATTCTCTTTAAGAAAAAAAATTAAAAGTTTCCATTTGTAGTACAAAATGTTTGTTTGTGATGTGAACGTGTATGGAGAGAGAAGCTGGTTAGGAACAGCGTCACAGTAATTACATTTGCCTAAAAGGCAAAGAAATTCCCAGAGGTATTATAATAAGCATTTTCATAAGCAAATCAACAAAAGCAGAAGAGAATCTGGGCCATGACAGAACCAAGCCTTAGAGCTACAACCTAAATGGGAAATAAGAAGTAAAAAGAAATGTGGGAGAGGAAACCAGTGTCTTACTTTCTAACCTTAATGATCCTACTTTTAGGGGTTTCAAGACAGATAAATTCCTTTCTACTTCCTTCAAAGACTGATATAAAAAGCCTTGTAGTGGGCCAGCCAAGTGGCTCAGTTGGTTAAGAGCTCACTCAAGAGTTTGAGCTCTGAGCAACAGCAGTTCGAGTCCCGGCCCGAGCAGAGCAGCCGCTGAGCTGCCAACAGGTGGCAGGATGGCTCAGCTAAAAAAACAAAACAAAAACCTCCTAAATGGAAGTCAAGAGGATGATAACCTTGCCCTACATTTTGGGGGAAACCCCCTGCAAAACCCTAATTTTCTGATTTCTAATTTTAAGTTCTTCAGACAAAAACTTAACATCACTTTCTCAGCAGCAGTAGAAACCTTTGAAAGAAATGGAAGAGGCAGAGGAAATCAATTGCTCGTGATCTGATAAAACTGCATGCTTATTGTGGGGCCCTGCGTGTCCTCTCC